GAGAGAGAGAGAGAGAAATGTTGGAATGCTAGTTTCAATGTGAAAAAAAATAAAGTAAATAATCGATTTTCTTTTCTTTTTTTTTTAACGAATACCTTTTAATATTTTCTAATACGTTAGATCGTTGAGGCAGGATATCTCGTGATTCAAACTTGCGATACAAACACGCGCCAGACCAGAGCAGAAAGTTGGCTTAATCGACGTAAATAAGTTGGCGCCAGACGAGAATTTAAGAATTAAAGGCCTCGCAACGCGATGCACTTTCGGTCGTACCCACTTTCGCCGCAGTCCAGGCACCACTTTACACACCGGCGCGCACCTGATCGCACCGTTGCAACTCACAACGGTGCAAGAAAGCAGTTTTGTTAATTATCCGACAAAAACAGCAGGCACGGTCCCACGCTACCGGCGGTATCGAGCGGGACGCTATCACGTGTACGCGAGCGGCAGCGCACAACGATACGAAGCAGCAGGACTAAAAGCGAAAATGCAGTTGAACTTTCATATTTTTCTTTTTCTTTTGCTTTCTCACTCTTTCTTTTCGCCGCCTTCCGCGTTTGCCTAAACGCACGGAAACGTTAAAATGAGAGAAGACAGAAAATATATAATGCAACCAATATTAATTAATATCAAAAACATAAAATAGAAAAGCATGAGTTCTCTATAACAACAGATCGATAGCAATGCATAATATTTTTCTGTTTTCCCTTTGTTTATTGTGATAACATTTTTGTTATACGATTACATTCGCATCTAACTGTTCGTCGCAATTGATTTGTAATCATCGCCGCGTATTTCGCAGATTTCACGCCGCCGGATGTTTTTTCCACGCTATTGCCTTTACTACTTGGAATTCTACGAACGATTTGAAACTATAAAATGTGTGGGTAAAACCGTGTACGTGACGGTACCGCAAAAAAATACCGTATGCCAGATGTAATCCCGACGTTGAAGAATATAAAATGCTTTCTCTACGGCGCCGGCTGGAGTTTGTTTACGCGTGCAGCAAAAGCTGACTTGTAGAAAGAGAAGAGAAGTGCAAAAAAATAAAGACTCCTAAGTAGCACAAGAGGGTGGATGCGCCACGGTAGTCGTTTTCTCTTTACGGTGACACAGTGTGGTTAATCCTCCGCCTCACAGGATTATCCACATTAACTTTATGTTTCTTCAACCGCTGGTTCAACAGCAAGTTGTAACAACCTTTTTGTTCCGGCTGTTATTTTTATTTAATTAAACATCCGGCAAAACAATGTGTCGATGTATGAAATGTTAAATTTGTGAGAGTGAAAGAGAACGCAAATCATGAGCATGATTTATAACATTTATTAATAGAGAAAAATTGCGTTGAATTGCAAGGAATAACCAGTGCAGATTTTTAATGCTATAAAATTTATGAAATATCTATTTCGTTAACATTTTCAATTTGACAGTGTAAAAGTGCAAAAAGAAGTTACTCTGATCGTCACAACGAAATTCACGAATGTTAAGGCGATTATATTATATTGCATGCCTTGCGGTCATACATTTTTTCACCGCATATGCCTTCCGCGCCAAATGAATTAATAATGTCATGTAGTATTATTTTATCATACTGACAGAGTGAATTTTTGCTGCAATTTTAACGAATGTAGGAGAATCGCGATTGTATTTACAATGTTTTAATATAAATGTATCATTTCAGCGCAATTTTAAATGTGTCAGCCGCTTTTAAATTTTTAATTTAGGAGAAATTTACTTAATATTTAACTCTTGCAGTCTATTTAATTACAATAATCGCTGCGCAAATTTTATGAGCAAATGGATTTTAATGAAAAACTTCCGTATTAAATTTTATTAAAGATAAGAAATGTTATTTTATTGTTACAGGTCAGGATGCCGGCATTGTGTTATCACCGTTAATAGGCGTAGTGGTCGGCGCTCTCGTGACTCTGGTCCTCATTATTCTGGTCATAGTGGTCAGGATACGTCGGGAGCGCGTGGCGAAACCGCGGCATGAGAAACCAGCGGAACTCAGCGAGTTGCCGCCTCAACAATACCCCTTGCAGAATTCTCAACAGACCGTGGAGACTGATCCCGACGTGATCCCGAACAAGTTCGGTAAGACTCCTCGGAGCCAATACCACTAAACAGCCTCCGCACGAATCCGATTACGATCTCGTTCGATGTAGACACCTTGTATGTATAGGCGGAAGAGAGGCACGTGCCTTTATCGAACGAGAATGGCCAAAAACTTTCCTGTCAATATATTTTATTCGTACATTTTGCTTCTTGCTATAAAAAAAGAATAAATTTATAAAAATTATTAATTTTATTTTTATCATCTAGCTAGAAATTTGATAAATAATAAATACGGGTATAAATAAATAAAAATGGATTGTTTTATATCTTTAAATGATTGATTTGATTTTTACCTGCATTTGTTGTATTTTTGAATAAATTGAAGTAAGTGCGGGTGAATTGGAACAATTTTTTTAAATATTTTAAATCGATTTACATGATTGATTTTTGGAAGAAATTTGTGGAATAATATTTTTTTATAACAAAAATTTCAAGCTTTTCTTCAATTTAATATCAAAAAGATGTCAAAATATAAACTTTTCCTCTCAATTTTTCACATATCTTAAATCTTCGAAATTACAAAAAATTGCGATAGCTTTTAATTAAGTTTGTTTAAGAGAAAAATTTTTATTTATCCCTTTTAGTCACGATTTTAGTCAATCACCGTCATACTTTCTAAAGTGCGCGTCATGAAAGTTTGTTCAGGAGTAGTGGGAGGAAAGTTTAGCTTGGTATCTTCAAAATTGCGGCGAGTAGAATTATTTTCCCGACAGTATTTTTCGCGTATTCTTTATTTTGACAAGAATGTCGAAAAAGTTGATAAAAAAAGAATATCATCCTACTGATCAAAACGCGTTAACTACATCCATTGTCGGAGGTTCATTGCATGCGATTCTTCGTTTGGCGCTCTGGGACCTAAAATGAAGAATCGGCAAGGAGCAAGGAATCGGAAAGAGCGCTTCCGAGCGCAATTACTCTCCGCATTTCCGCCTCATAACGCACTCGATAGTTCCCAACAGAGATCCCCGTCTGCTTCCAGAGGGTAACCTCGTGGAGGTCAGCCCACCGAGTTACCCGGGCGGTTATCCCCCGGGACACTGGGTCACGCCCGGACCTACGCCAAGCATAGACGAGCTCTGCCACAAGTTCACGGGTCGGCCGACGGAACTGAGGTTACCGTCGCGCAGCACGATACCGAACCTGCCGGCGGGGATGCCGGTGACGGGGATGATGGTGGGCGCTGGGCAGGGTGTCGTCATCGGCGGTGCCCAGGGCGTCGTCGTGGGTGGCGGCCAGGGTGTCGTCGTGGCTGGCGAGTGCCTGGACGGCGAGGCGATCAAGCGAAGACTGATGGCGAACAGGCTACCGGAGAGCTGCGTCTAGAAGCTCTCAAATCGGCCGCAGGTGACGTGACCATCGTCATCGTCGTCGTTATCCTCGTCACCTTGGTACCGTTCAAGTGGTTGTCGCGTGATCCTGGCGAAAGACGAACCCGAGCGAACTCGAGAGCACTTGTCGCGTATCCAAGAGCGGTCTTGAAATCCTGAATCGGTGAAGCGTTGCATTGTCCGCTTTCGTGACACCCGTTTGTTAGCCGCTTTAACGCGTTCACGACTAACGATCCGGCGCGACCGACTCGTATTAATGAAATGGGTTATTGCGCATCGGAGATCAGCGTTATGTGTCACGAACGATTAATTTTACACAAGTTTCTAGTGTTCGATTCGGGGCAACAGTCGAGAGAGAGAGAGAGAGAGAGAGAGAGAGAGAGAGAAAGTGATGCAATTGCGCGATTTCTCTCGTGAAACGATTCACGAGATTGGAGACACCGTCCGCGTCGCGATTGTTTTCGAAATAAGATCGCCGCGCCAGTTTCCCTCCGGGATAGCGAGGAAAGCGGTTGAAGTATGCGGAGAAGTTAGCCCGGAAACTTCCCCGAAGTTCCCTGCCTCGCGGAAGAGTATTGCAAAGTTCTAACATTCTGTTTTCGGTCGTTGACTTGACCGCTGCTCCCCCCCCCTCCCCCTTTTTTTTGTGTGTTCCAAATCGGATGATCTTCGACGGTGTCTTCTCGAATATTTCCCCTGTAGATTTGCTCCTCTTCGTTACAGACGCGAAATATAAAAAACGAGAGCGAAAAACCGAACTGCGAGCTGCAAAAGCTGCTCGGATTGAATGCCGAGTTTGAAATATGTTTTCGGTATGCGGTATTCCACTCTTCCGCCGAAAACATTTTTGTCGCACGGACAGTCGTGATGAATGAATATCATAATCCATATTTTTTCGTATTAATTTTTTTCTCTGACAAAAACAACTAATTTTATGTTATTTCTCTCTTTCTCTATTATATCTGCTTTGTTGCATTTTTGCTGTGCATTTTTTCCAGTTTATATTAATATTTTGTACATTATTTATCTCTCATTTTTTTTATTATATTATATTACGCTAACGTCTCACGATGTCCCTAAATAAATCCGAATTCTACCAACGAGACGTTGGTCCGGAAGTATCAGGCCGTGAAACACGAGAAAAGATAAAAGGCTCTCGAACGAACCCCTTTTCCGATGGCTCGAATGAAGACGAATGGAGGAACCGCGCGAAAATATACCGAGAACAGAAGGAGGAACGAAGAGGACGCGGGGGGGAGGGGGGGGAGAAAGGACGATGCGGAATGAAAGGAAGAAAGGGAACGGCTCGATGCCACTTTGGCGTGTAGTTTGAAGGCGTGAAATGCGGTTTTAAGGTTGAACGATCGGCTTCGATATCGCGATAAAGCAAAGAAGAGCGGGAAACTGCACCGCGGGCATCGAATATCCTGTTTAAATTCGATATTTTTTGAGGTACAATCTTCACGGCGTAATATCGATAATGCCGAATAGACATCGAACGTGAATGACGATATTATTAAATTAAAAGAAGAAAATTTTCGAAACTGTTCGTTGAACGCATCGATAAATTGGATTTCGTACCGATCGCACCCTGTCTACCGTGTAATGTTAGAATCTCGAATAAATAATTAAAGTAACAAGCACTTTGGAGAAGAAGCGGCCGCTTCCAGCAGGGAACGCAAGCGAATATGACGAGCCGCGTAACGTACAAAGCGAAAGGATTCCTGTGAAACCAAGACCAGGTGCACGTTGTACTCCATCGGTGTAAAGGTAGAGCGTCGGTGTTGTGATAGAACATTTATAAATTTTTCTACCGCTCATATGAGTTTTCTCGCAATTCCCACGAATATCGAATATAAATTCTCACGAGGTCGAGACTCGTTCACGAAAAATTCTACGATGCACTCTCACCGGATGTGTGCGCGCGCGCGCGTGTGTGTAAATATATATATATATATAGTTTAACGGTTTCTTTATCAGCTCGTTAAATCGCGATTTTACTCGGTTCACGACAAGCAGGGGAGGAAAAAGTGGAGAGCGGGGAACAGCACGATGCGCAGCGTCCGCGAATTTCTACGTTCGCACGAAGAGAGAGAGAGTGAGCTTTTGCGAGACTTGCAAAAGAAAAAAAAAAACGAAACTGGTCTTCCACGTGACACTTCGCGACGAAGTCATGAGACTTCTACGGCGAGAATGGAACTAACGAATCGACAAAAAAGCGTATCCCTAATGGTGTGGTGTATAACGTGAACTTTGCTCGTGAAAAGTTCGCCCCGTGCTTCGCGAATGATCGATAGACTCGTAATGTGTAAAAAAAGAAAAAAAGAAATGAGCGACGGACTGAGAAATGAGTAACGAGTGTCGCTTCGGCGATGCGGAGAGCCGCTCTCCGCGGGATACGAGTGGTAAATGATGCCGAATCAATCGTCGAGTGTGTCTGTTTCGATAGTAATAAAAAAAAAAAAAAAATAATGATCACAAGTATGATGGTTGCTCGTTAGCTAATGTATCGCTGTACATATTATGAGAGAGTCTAAGGATAAGTTGACAGCGTTCGAGTTTTCGAGATGACCGGTGGAACGATCTTGTCGAGCACCTAACCTTGTCTGAGTCTCTCCATCTGCACGAGGAAAAATAATGATACAAGATTGAAATCATTTTCGCGAGAATTTTTCTCGCTCTTATGCGGAATGTCATGCTCGATAACGCCGCTCCACCGAGATCCTTTAAATTCACACCCTTGTTTCGTCGCAGCGTCACAATTTTCCGACGATGCCAGAGCCGGATTTTGACATTCGTTAATAATAAAACGGATTTTTTTATTCTAATAATTTTGTTATAAAACCAGATATAGTTTATTCATTTTTGTTCCATAAATTTTATTTTTTTCCCCTCATAATATTCCGCGAAAGCTTATGAATAATAAATTTTGACCTGTGCAATTTTTTCATTACTTGGTTTAATTTTTTAAGTGCTAATTATCCTTTTCGGCTGATCGTCGAAGAATTGTCGATTAATCGAACGACCTATGTACATCTTTCACGTCCATGAGAATTTGTTTGAGGATGAATGATGAAGATAACGCATTAACGCGGACCGAGAGTTAGAATAAGACAAAATACTACTGCCCATATTCATTTTGTAAAACGAGGAAACGTCGGGGCTATCAACCCCTTCTCATGTGTAAGAATCTTATTTAGCGAGCGAGGAAAATCGCCAAAGTAGATACCGAAAAATAACGTTCTCGGTCGGCGTAACCCAACAATCAAGTGCAAAGGAAGTAAAAAATGAATAAATAAATAAGCGCAAACGATCGACGAGGAAGTTAACAAGTAGCGAGTAATGGCTGTACATAATCAGTTGTACGTAAAACGACGCGACGGAGTTCATGTAAATCGATCGACAGTCGCGTAAAAGCCGAACGTCGAGGTTCGTTGTATAGGTGATTTCATATCAAACCCATATCGTTTAACTTAAGTCGTATGTATATACTACACCATGTTTTGATCTGAATAAACTGTTTAATTGTCCGAATCATCGAGCGTTTATTTGCGCCACTCACCGCGCGAGGACACCGCGAAGGGGTATTACTCTTCTCGGCGCAACACACAGCCGTATACCCAGGAGAGAAGCGCGCTTATAAAGTAAAATAGGAGCCCTGACAAACGACGCTCACGTGCCGCAAAAAGATAGACGCGCTTGAAAAATGGGGCCAAAACTTCCTTCCGGTTCGACGAAAAAGGAATACTCGGCACGTGAGAAGTCACTCGGAGCGACGGCTTTGAGATATTCGTGCCATGCTCGAGGAAACTTCGTCCGCACGTAAGTCTTATTTCTTTTTCCTTTTTTTCTGGTTGTTATGAGCATACGTCGTTATGTGTATCCATTGACTTAACTGTGCAATTTTGACTTGATAAATAATTTTCAGTTTTTTTTACAAATTTCTGTATATCTGCAACGTGCAATATATATAAATAAAATCTGAAATTTGCATCTGAAAATTACTGTATCGGAAAAATTCACGAAAAAAATCGTAACGCCTGCAAATTTTTATATCGATTTTTAAATCTCGTTTCTTAAATTCTTTCTAAGATTTCGCGGCAATAGACAGACAGGCCATAAAAATCGCTTGAGATGCATGTCTTGCGAGCTCCCTTGTGTGCTTCTCAGCATAGCGGGAAAAAAATGGAAAAGATGCCGCATGGAATTTTAATCCAATCTTATATATCCACGCTTATCAAGCACACACCGTGTGTAAGAATAAAAAAAGAGCACCTTAAAATATTTCTAACACATATATCTCAAATGTTTCGACAGATCAAGCACGTTTACTTGATATTTACATAATGTTAAAAACATTGTCTTATTAAAACTTAAGAAAGCACCATATACATTTTTCACAATACAATATTTTAAATATTGGCACAACTTGAGAAATTATATTTCCGCCAAATTCCTGTCGTAGTGTTTTGCGGATTTTGCTTTTGTTTCTTCTGTACCGCACGAAAATAAAATGTCTCGCAGCTTCCGATGCATCTCTCGCGGCACGCTGACGATAATATTCATGCCTTTTAGCAGCATGTGATTGTACGTCTCCGCTATCGAATATTTTATTCCCTCCAGAGGCAAGTCTTCCTATGGAGATAGCGTGTCAGTGAGTGAAATCTATATGCGTAGTTTTCGGAAACTTTAGGCGCTCACTCACTTGTCGATCGGTAGCGATCGTACTTATCATTCTATAGTATAGATCTTCCGTTTGAGTACTGTCGCCCCAAAGACCTTCCGATCGAGTCCAATAAATAAGACCACCGGCGACGGTGCCTTTCAGAAGAAACATTACAATTCTGCAAAGTTTCTCGCCGCTCGAAAGCGGTCGTGGCGATGGCTTTGGAGGACAATCACATAACTGCGCGAACAAAGACAATATATAAAGTGCCATTAATATCAATTTCTCACATTCTCAATTTAATTTAAAGTATGATTTTGACCAACTTAAATATTGGAAATCGCTGCATTGTATCGTTAGCATTTCTTAATTCTTCTTTTAATTGCGTTTACCATGTTTTTTTTTTTTTTTTTAGCTAGTTAACGGCATTTATGCTGTCAAGTTGTTGCGAAATGATTGTAATCGATAATTTGGCAATGACGAATATTCTAAGTCTTCCGTTATACGTCATCGTGTTTGACCTCGTATTCCAATACCTGCGTAGATGATGGTCCTAACAATTACCGGGACTCGGACTGTCCTCCTCCATTAGAGACCCATCGATGTCGCTATAGCAGTGTACACCGACTGTCGAGCTAATTCCAGGTAAACGCAACTACGTATCGACTAACCAATTCCGTACAGGTGCTCGAACACCATCATCTCGTTACACGGCGTGTCAATATCGCGCGAGGCCGAGTGAACGCTCGACACAGCGACAAGCCACATGATTTAACCCAGAATTGAATGCCTTGCGCTTCGCGTGGAACGCGACAAGTGTGTCCAATTTCCGGCCAAAATAGGTCGCTATTACATTTTTATTTATATAGAAGCTAGAAATTGGACGTTATAAATGCCGGGATTTCCATATTTTCGAGTTTGAATTCAACGTTTCGTTATATGTTATTTGACGAATGTTTATACGCTATTGATATTCCGTTTTATAATATTTAAGATTCTTTAAAAATTCCAGTAATGTTCTCTCACCTTCGGCTGGCATTTTCTTTGCATGTCTTCCCGCGAACAAACTTTAACCGTCACTGGTCTAGGTCCGCAATAACTGCTTGCGCTGGGAGAGTCAAAATAAGAATCCGCATCCGCGCTAACGAGTTTTTGAATCTTCGGCCTTACGCATGTTTTCGGTTTGGACAGATTAATGGTTTGCGCGACACACTTTGTTCCTCTCTTCATATTATTTCGTAATCTTTGCGCAACGAATCACAAATTGCAAAATCTTTCTCGCTTCGTCGACGAAGAAATCTTTGCAAATGGAGAATTGTGTAGGTTAAATATGGAAAAAGATCTTTAATAAATTCTTCGATTTACGTATTTAAATGTTGCAAATAGCAATAGACAAAATTGCAGCCATATTTTATTTTTATTTTTGATGAATTTAAAATATTAATATCTAAATAAAAATATCAAAAATAATACTTTACGTGCACGACAAAAATTAAACTTACATGTGGGGATTCACGATAAAATTTTGACGAAACTTTAGAATTGAAGCAATTAGGACCTGCAAAATTTCATTTTTTTCCTTTTTTATTTTGGTTAAAAATGATTACAGTGCTTTTACAGACGATTTATTATACTGCAAATTTATCTGTCGTAATGACATTTAGACGACTGACATTCATTCGATTATGTTTTGTTTGTAATATCTCCGATTAATTTGACATACTAATTGCGCTCATCACATTACATATATTTATATATTATCAGTATATTTATATATTAATACAATTTATACATATAAATATGTATATCAAAATTAATTCCAAGTTATTGGCAAAATCAGTCAAACATAAATCGAGCTACACTTATTGTTGAATGCGTCGATTTCTTACCGAACGGTAAGAAATCCGATTGCCATCGGAGATAGCAAAGAAAAAGTGAAAAGGCGCGAGGGAAAAGAGCGAGAGCACGTAATAGATACGGCACGACGCGCGGCACAAAGGACCGGGTGGAATAATGTATGGCGGGTACTCCGTCAACTTTGGTACGCAAAATCCTGTTTCGGGCCTTCTTGTCGCCCTTTGTCCCCCTCCGTTCTGATAAGAGCGAATATATAAAGGAGTCGAGATTGCGCGGGTGTGGCGGTGGACGGGCGGAAGGGCTGAAAAAGAGGCCGGTGCTTGATGAAATACAGTTTCCAACGAGGTCTTTACGCCTCTCTTCTGCCGCACTCCATTTCGTTACCGGCGCGCACGAGCGCATGGCCTCACAATTCCTTATTCATCAACGCCATTGGAAAAACTCGTGAAATTTGCATCCATCGCGATCGTACGTTGCGCTCCGCTCTACGCGCGTTGACAGGCAGCGCGCAAGTCGTCGCGTGCGATGCGTCCTTGGTAATGTAACACCGTGTAACTTCACACGATCGTACAGTGAAGCTTAAGGGCCGGTATAGAGTGCTGACGATATTTCGCGTAAAGCTTTTACAAACTTTAGACAACGCGTAAGAGGATTATGGAAAAAAAATTAAAATCTTTGTTAAAATCAAAATAAAGTTAAATTCAAATGAAAAGGGGAAAAGCAGCATGTTGTGCGGTAGAGAAATTCTGCAGATTCGAGATAAAATAGTTGGATGGTGAATCCGTTGAAGATTAATATTGATTAAATAAGAATTTTGTAATATTAATTAATTTATAATAATTTTCAATTAGAATAATCTGGACTTTAAAGTTGCCGAATCTTCTTCGAACTGAAAAAATGCTTTTTTAAATTTTGCTACGTCGTACCGACGCAACGTCCTCACGACGATATATTTGCAGGACATAAGAAAAAAAAAAGGAAGAAGGGAAGCGAAGTAGAACGACTATCGCGCGGCGATAAAAAGAGATTCACGATCGCCCGTCGTCTATAGATGGACATTAAGAGAACCATGAACGTCGCTATGGACTAGGTCCGCGATCCTTTAACGAAGGTTTCAGACGATGAAATACGAAGGACGAGCGCGAAAGAGGACTTTCGGAAAACTAATTTTCGCGATATTAGTCTTACGAAATTGGTTATTGATGTTCCATTCGTCCGCCGATAATGGCGAACGGAGGCGCTCATCCCCTTCCCTCTGGCCGCGGGGAAAGGTCGTAAGTCCCGGAGCAGGGGTCAAGGATCTCGGGTTGCGTTGTCCTTTGCCGGCGCTCGTCCTTCTTAAAAGGAATTGCTTCCTTAACGGGCGTTAAATCGACTTTGCCGGCGCGGTGTCCTCCTCGCTCTTGCGATTGACAGATATTTCGTGGTCTTCGCCTCCAAGACTTCGCTCCCGTTCTTCCTTCCTTCCTTCCTTCCTTCCTTCCTTCCTTCTTTCCTTCTTTCCTTCCTTCCTTCCTTCCTTCCTTCCTTCCTTCCTTCCTTCCTTCCTTCCTTCCTCCTTCCTTCCTTCCTTCCTTTCCTCCCTGCCTTCCGCTTGCTACTCTTGGTGGCCAGTCTATCTCCTTTCTTCCCTTCTTCCTCTTTTCTCCTCGCGTCCACCTCCGTACATTCTTTTTCGCCACTTCCTCTAACAAAGACTCTCCCGAGCGCACCTCTCGCAAGTTTCTCTTTCCAGCTGGACAAACGGCTGCTCGCCTGGCGGCATTCCAAGCAATCTCTTTGCCGGCCAGGGGCCTTCAAAAGGAATACACGATAAATTGATAAATTCGCGGATCCCACGCGCCACTGGTAGACAGTTGCTAAGCACAGTTGTTAAACTTTTACGAACATAATTCAAGAATTTTTATATACCAGCACGCTGCTCCTCTTCTTTCTTTTTAGTTTTAATTTATTTTAATAAAACAGAGAGAGAGAGAGAGAGACAGACAGATTTTTATTACAGTTTCTTTAATGTAAAAATAATTCTTATCATTTTATGTGCTTGAAATATAAAATGTCAAACGTAAATCGTCGTACATATTCTATCTATTTCTTACTTGCGTGTCTTGTCTTGAAAAAATATTTTTATGAAATATTGAGACATTCACGATCTATAATATATACGTGATCAGCGTGCACGCTCGATAGTTCGGAAACGCGACGATTTGATAGCCGACTAATAACGCGAGGACACGCGCGCGAGGGCGGGAGAATCGCCGGAGGCGCATATGATTTGCCGCGGTGTCGTAAATCGAGATTAGCGCGGAATTTCGGAATAGTCGCGCCGTCTAATAGCGATATCGAGAGAGGACGAGGGTAGAATGGCCCGTAGTTGCTCACCGAGTCTCCGTACTTGGAGCTCAACCGCCGACTCGGGACGAGCCGAATTATCGTTCTCGTATCCTTCCGCCGCGTCCCTCCTGCGCCGCCGTCTATCCTCGCGCGAGCTTTCGCGACGAATACGGCGGCATACGGCTCTCTCTCTCCTCCCGTTCCCTCTTCCCGGCCGAATTCTGCGAAGAGCCCAGAGAGCTCTCACGGAGGCGGATTAGAATATCCCTCGGAGCTAACCTCCGCCGGGACGAACTTCCCGGGGCGAGCGCGACATTATTCCTAGGTCGATTAGACGTTCGACCCTCGCGTCATCCCGGGGCCTAATAACGTTGTCGCGGCCCTCGGATCCTCAAGAGATTAGCACAAGTGAAATAATACTGACCCGCCCTCCAAATATAGATTGACTGCCATGTAAGGGCAAAATCGGTTTAGTTAACCTTAGTAAGAAAACAATTAGTCTTAATTGCGCTGGGAGGAACCCACTTACGGATATTTATGTAATCACCCGGAAAAGACACATATATATTATGTTTGCGAGTAACGATCTTGTGGGGGTAAAATAAAAATTAATACGTTCAGTGGATGGAAAAGACAGTTTTTATGTGAACATAAAAACTGTCACACAATTTCTAAGGAGGCAAAAAGGCGAGCGGATAGCGAGAATATTTAAAGAATATAATCTCTTTCGTAAAGTAGAAATACTTTGAAACAAAATGCAAATATTTCGAAATATAAAATATAAAAAAAATATAACAAAAAGGAGAAAACGAAGTTAGAATCTATCGTTTCTTTTGCGCCGATGCTATAAAGTATTGCGCAATTGTTGCAGTTTATAACAAAGTTCGAGCTACGTAGTTACGTATGTTATACGTGAAAGAAAATACGCGAAGCGAAACACTTACATGCAAAACTGTGTAAAAGCACTACACGAGACTCGCGACTGACGTAACGACGTTCAAGGGACCAGCAAATTCATGCCGCTGTATTACACGGCGAAACTCCTCGCGAGGAGTTACACTGCGAGCGATGAGGACGAAGCGAAATTTAAAAGTTTTAATGAAGTGCACCCGGGACAACATACGCGGGCATAAGCGCTCCAAGAGCGTCGGATCATTTTTTTTCATACTCGACGCAATGAATGTAAATTTATGAAAACATTACAGACAGAAACTCCGGATATTATCGACGATAATCTCTTCCTCTTATCTCAAGTTCGGACAACCGCATCGCATGATTAATAAGCCAACATAAAATTAATAAAAAATTAAATTGTTAAAAATTATTATAAATACGATTTATATTGGAAAAAGAGGTAAAAATTTAAATACGAATATTCTACAAGAAACTTAATCTATATAAACATTGCTTCATAGCATCTAATTAGAGAATGTGTTAATGAGACCAGCAAAAGAATGTGCCGTGAATGAAAAGACTCGCGAATTTTCTTTTCGAACAATTCGAAAATTCGCGGCGTGCGGAGTGTCGCGAGGACGATATCGAAAGTGAATCAATACAATAATCATCTTAATCGGGCGCATTAATTACGGCCGACGAATCCAATTAAAGCCGGTGGCGCCGCGCACGCTACCGCAAAGACACAGCGACACCCGTCCTCCGCCATTTCGCGGTCCAGCGTGGATTGCGGGACAGGGTGTGGGCCGGTGAAAGAGGGCGAACGGCCCTCACTCCCCTTCCCTCCCTGGGGAAAGGGTGGCGCAGCTCTCATGACTCTCTCGCGGTGGCATGGAGAGCTTAAAAATATGATTTTAATACCACTGCTCCGGGGGTCGCCGTATATCACGCTTTTGTCCGCCTACTATTGTCTCTACGCCGGACCCATACCCTCTCAAAACCGCCCTCTTCCACATCCACGTCCAACCCAACCCCCTTTTGGACAACCCGGCACCCTCGCACCACTCGTCCTCTCTCCCTCCCCCTCCCGCCTTCGGCCTCAACCGCATGTCACACGAGGGGTACCCGACTGCGACCACCAAAACGCT